TTTACTAGAAGCGCCTGTGGCTAAAATTTCAAAGAAGTATCTCCATAAATAAGAAAGTTAGCATTGCGCAGTCACTGCGCATGCCCACATAATTTTTACTATGTGCGAAATGTTTACCTTTACTAGAAGCGCCTGTGGTTAAAATTTCAAAGAAATATCTCCACAAATAAGAAATTTGGCATTGCGCAGTATGCCCACACATCACTGCGCATGCCCACACATTATTTTTACTATGTGCGAAATGTTTGCCTTTACTAGAAGCGTCTGTGGTTAAAATTTCAAAGCAATATCTCCATAAATAAGAAAGTTGGCATTGCGCAGTCACTGCGCATGCCCACATAATTTTTACTATGCGCGAAATGTTTATCTTTACTAGAAGCGTCTGTGGTTACAATTTCAAAGAAATATCCCCATAAATATGAAAGTTGGCATTGCGCAGTCTGCGCAAAATATGGAGTTAAATGAAACTGATCGAATTGGGCAAATATAGACCATAACAGCTATCAATTAGCGAAAACCCGAAGTCTCTAGGTGGCCCAGGGGCCGAGATCTCGATGGAACGGACGGACGGACGGACGGACGGACGGACGGACGGACGGAAACACGAGCACATAAGCTTTACCTCAACTTCGTTGTGTTACGCTAAAAATGCGATCAACTAGAGCAGTACTCAAGAAGGAACAATCTTCGGGTTTACGGCATTCCTGAAACCAAGGATCAGGACACAAATTTACTTGTGCGTCAACTGATTAAAGAAAAATTAAACGTCATAGTTTATCCAGAAGATATTTTATATTTTATTTGGGAAATCGCATGTGTGGACATCTGATGGGAGGATAATGTGGCTATCTAACGGACAGCGTAAAAGTGGGGAGTGTATTAGTGAGTTATCTAAGTGACGCATTAAGAGCAAACCTGGTTTTCCGTATCTATATGAAGTACAGTCTTGTTTTGATAACAGTTTAATTTTGGGGGTCACATTACGTATTTTGTTATTGTGATAATAATATCTATTGTAAATATATATAGGTATATGTTAATGAAAGAATTTTCAGTAGCATTCTTTAATGTAAGGTCACTCACAAAAAATTTTTTTGAACTCAAAAGTTTCTTGTTACAGGAAAATTACGATGTACTTGGAGTATGTGAAACATGGTTATATGATACAATAAGCACAGATTTGGTTGGTATACCGGGATATAACTTCATTAGGAAAGATAGAGAGTCGAGAGGAGGTGGTGTTGGTTTTTATATACGTTCAGATATTGATTGGAAAGTAGTAAGTAGAAATAGTTATGAATTTATAGAACAAATATAGATTAAAGTGAAGGTAAATAAACTGTCTTATATCATAGGTACAGTATATCGTCCTCCAGGAAAAAATGCTTTTGATTTTGTGAACAATTTGGTAGGTACGATCTCTAATTTTTTAACTGAATGTAATAATGTAATCTGTGGTGGTGACATTAATATTAATATACCTACTTGATGCACAAAATAGTAAAACTATATACTTCAGTGACAGTATTGAGTCCCTAAACTTAAAGCAAATTATAAACACTCCAACTAGATTAGGCAAAAACAGCACTATCTTGCTGGATATCATTTTAGTTTGTCGCGATTATGCTGATAACTCATATTTATGTGGTACCAAAGACGTCTTTAATATATCTGACCACCTTTTGGTGTCCTGCCCAACAGACGCATGCAAAAGTAAAGTTCAGAAACTTGCAACGGATAGATGCAAATCTCTTGGAATACTTTTTAACAATCAACCCCTTTTGCGATTTACTCTACATTCGTACCATTAACGATAAGGTAAGTCTTCTAAAGCAATTGTTAATAAACATTTTTGATACTTTGTCTCCCCTTAAGGAAGTTATAATAGAAAAACAGAGACCTCCATGGCTCAACGACTCCGTGAAATTGTTAATGGAATTATGTGACAAAACGTTCCAAAAGTTTAAAAAGACAAAATCAACTAGTTACTGGAATTATTATTACACCACGCAAGTAATAATAACTCTTGAGAAAAATAAGGATCTTCAACTGAATATAAAAAATAATCTTGGCAATTTTAAAGTTTTGTGGAATACACTTACAGCTTTAGGTGTACATATAAAAAATCAAACTCAAACACTCTACCAGATGATCTCAATAAACCAGAGGAAATGAATAAGTGTCTCCTGCAGTTCTCTACTTTCTCTTCACCTGATGCTACTTTGTTAGATTTTTATAAACAAAACACCAAAATTCATTTTGAAACACTTTTTACTTTTTCAACCGTCAGTGAGGAAGTGATATACAAATGTTTATTGGAAATTAATTCGAATGCAATTGGTGATGATGGAATTAGTATAGACACGAGGGGTAAACCGCAACCCAAATTTTGTACTCTGATTTCCTATAAATATTAGATTTCCTCTGAGTTCCTTCGAGTTCTTCAGAGTTCATTTGATTTCTTCGGAGTTTCCCTGATTTCCTCCGAGTTCCTCCAACTTCCACGGAATACCTCTGATTTCCTTGGAGTTCCCTCGATTTTCTTTTGGAGTTCCTGTGAGTTCCTCTGATTTTTTTAATTATTTCATTGTTATTCCGTTGATTTAACAATTTCCTGGTAAGTAAAACCCGAGGTAAAACCATAAAAAAAATATAAAAGTGTCAAGTTAAAAAGTAATCGTAAACGATTTACATAAAGCGCATTTCCACTTGCATTCATTTCCCATTTGTAAGATGCAACTTCTGTTAAAATCGTAAAAATCCGGCCACAAATATGAAAGATAGCGTTGCACATGGGCAATCCATTGTTGACGTGCTACTTCAATTTCAGTTTATGAGAAGAATTTCATTTGAATGCTTTTCTAAATAAGAAAGTTGGAACTGCGCATGCGCAAACCTAAATTTTAAAACTAATGTTAGATTTTCCTTTATTCCAAGTGCCTATGTATCAAATTTCATTTAAATTCTTCCATAAATAAAAAAGTTGGCACTGCGCATGCGCAAAACCAAATTTTGAAATGGCGTTTGATTTTCCTTTATTCCAAGTGCCTATGTATCAAATTTCATTCAAATACTTTTATAAGTAAAAAAGTTTGCAATTCGGTTTATGGTCGAGATGCGAAAAGGGCACTGTGAATTTTGAATCGATTCGATTCAACTTTTGGCATTGCGTATTATATGGCTAAATCTATGCCCATATTGAATTTCATGCAATTCAGTTCATAACTAACGGAGATGTAAAAGCGATCGAACATTTCTAAACAAAGTTATCGTTCACACGGACAGATAGATGGACAGACAGACAAAGGAACAGACGGAGAGACCAACCGGCAGGCGACAGATAGCAATGCAAAATTATAAACGATCTCTAGGATCGTTAATAAACGGCAAAAGGGTAAAATTATGGAACATGTAAAAAACGGTTTTTTGTTTTTTTTTACAATAACTTTTTTTGTAAGCGGTACAGAAAAAATTCCTTCCTTGGTACAAGACTCGACACCATAACGAACCAAATAGCGAAAAAAGTAGAACAATAGCTCTTAAGATAAAGAACTAGTAGCGTCGCAAAGTTAGCGGACGGACGGACGGACGGATAAAGACACGACCTTAGACGAAACACTATTTTATATTTTAATAGACCTATTTGCAATGAGAAAAACTCATTATTAAATGAGAAAAATACCATAAACAAATAAAAAAATTAGTTAAGACCAAATTAAATAATAAAATGCAGCACGAGTTCCTTTGATTTCTTTAGAGTTCCCTTGATTTCCTCGGAGTTCCTGTGATTTCCTTGGAATTCCTCCTGAATACACATGGAATTCCTTGGAATTCTTAGCTTTCCTAGGAGTTCCTCCGGAATTCCTATGATTTCCCATAGATTTCCTCAAACGTGTACACTGATTTCCCATCGCGGTTTACCCCTCGTTGTTAGATTTCTGTCAGACTCAAGCATTTGTAATGATTTAGCTGTACAGGGCATCAAATTTAACTTTGCACCTGCATACAGCCCTCATTTTAACGGCATAGCAGAGGTAGCCGTAAGATCTACCAAACACCATCTTCGCCGTTTACTTCAAATTACACATTTAACTTACGAAGAAATGGTTACATGTCTAACTCAGATAGAAGCAATTTTGAATTCGCGTCCACTTACACCTTTATCAACACCCTCTCTAGATTTTACAGTTCTTACACCTTCCCATTTTTTGATTGGTCGGCACCTGATGTCTGTTCCTCATCCTAACGTAACTGAAAGCAACATCAATCGACTAGAACGTTACAGAAAAATAGAATACATAAAACAACACTTCTGGAATAGATTCAGTAATGAATATGTTCAACTTCTACAGCAGAAGACGAAGTGGCGATCATCATCAAGTGAACTCAAGATGGGCGCCTTGGTATTGATTAAAGACAAAACTCTACCTCCATTACTGTGGCATTTGGGACGTGTCATTAAGGTTTACCCAGGAACTGACGGCGTTACAAGAGTCGCTGAGATTAAAACCAAACGAGGAACCATTCGTAGAGCTTGCAATAATATATGCCCTCTACCGATTTCATGAAACATTGAATTACTTCAACCCCGGGAGTATGTTTACGTGCAATCTGCACGAGTGTTAAAAACATTATTATAATTAATATCAAGTGTGTAAAAACATAGAGCAATATTGTCATAACAACGAAAAAACTAATTTCAATAAAAGTCCATTTTCAATTGCCTTCATTTAAAAAAAGATAAAAACCCACGTACGGGCCTTAACACAAGCACAACTTAAAAAAAACTGATTTGTAGGGTTCAAAAAATGAGCCCCCATCCCATCCCTCCTTGCATAAAACGAGAAATCTTATTTCTTGTATATTTCTTGATAATAATCCTAGCAATTGTTTCACTTTCCTTTTGTCTTGCCTTGTTTTTGGCTCGACAAGTTCTTATCAATTATAATTTTTTTTTGGTTTTTGGATCATCTAAGGTTTCTTGGCGATTCTTTGACTTCCAAATACCAATTTAATTCATTTCGCATGATTTATTTATTCAAAAATGTAACACAAGTAGCGCGTTGGTAACTCATTTCGCCGGCTGGTCAAAAATACCCAAACTATCATAAAATGGTAGAAAATGCAAGATTTCCTTTACATATTGTTCATTATTGATAGCGTGATATCGATATCCAGTTGGACTCTCGTCTTCCAAGAAGGCCTCTATTGTAGCGCCTTCGGTTTGGTTTGACTTGATGAATGGCAAGACTAGTAACGCAGTGCCAAATCCATAGGAGCTAAAGGTACGAAAATCTGCATCGAATTGTTCGCGTGTTGGCATCGACTTCGTACGGAATTTTCTTAACAGCCGCGTCAGGTTATCAAAATAATGATCAATGATGGTGCTATATTTGGGTGGGATCTCTAAATTAACACTTGAAGTTAGAAAGTAATGCAAATCTATACACGGAGACGAGAAGCATGATAACGCGTAGTCAACCTGGAAAAAGACTTTCAATCTTTATTTTAGAGCTTTCCTTCTATTACGAATGCCACGTCACTAACAACGCCACGGTTGTTGTAGCGGAACATAATGTTATTTATCCAACAATCGCCGTGATTAAGAACTTTAAAGTCACAGTCTCTCTTGTGAACGTTGCACAACTCAGTCAGTATCCTATCTTTCGCTAGTTTCATTTTCTGAATGTGCTTCTTTACATCTGAAAAACCGAAGTATGTTAAATGACTGCGTTTTTAAGCAACAAAATACCAGGTCGATTCTGCAAATGTTTCACTATCTCATCGTAAGTAATAGAGAAGATTTTAGTTGGTGTGTTCGATTCTTCAAACAGTGATCTAGTAAATTGTGGTAAGACATTCGGATCCTGTAGAATGGACGCTTAATCTTACTTCTACTCCACAATCAGCCCGTACCTTTTCGTGTAGAGCAACTGAAGCAGAGTGGAAATAAGCAAGTTTCTCCACCACCGAGAGACAGTGTTCTAAATCCAAACCTCTGCGTCTTTCAGTCAGTTTATAATTCACCGCTGATAGGTCTTCTAGTAACACCATCGGTAATGGTGCGGAGCAAAACCAATAAGCGATGGGCGACATCTTCTCGCGATAATCTAAAAACTAAACCGTATCCATTTGGTGCCAAGGTGGAAAGTGATCACCTAATCTCGACAAGAGCGGTATAATGTTGCCATACATTTCAAGTTCGCAGTCGAACATTTTCATCTCCCTCACAAACCCAGCTTGGTACTCATCTTCAGGACAACTTTTGCAAACCATCCAAAGCGTACGCTGTCCGCCCCTAAAAGTCATACAGGTTGCCATCTAAACCAATAATATACCACAACGAACCCGTCGTCAAATGAGTAATCGACTTTAATCCTGCTCAGTGTACTACAAAAACTTTCACCAGCTGGACTTACATCATTGGTAATGTGGACATTGTTAATTGCAACGTTTTGCTTGTAGTACTGGTTGAGAACACTCTCAAAAAAACTTTTGTTCAGCAGTTTTTGCAGTAACGCCATGAGGATGCGTTTGTGAATGTCCGATGTTGTTGATTATAGAAATCTCATGCCCAACATTGCCTGTTTTGAATTTTTATATGTAGGTTTTTAATTATACTAGTGGTACTTAAAATTTACCATAATTCTGTGACCGACATTGTCTATTATGAATTTTTCTACATGAGTTTTGAGTAATGATACCCCTTCATTACACCATAATTCTGGGACCTCATCGATCATGTCGCGATAAGTGTACGTTTCATGAATTCAAACCAAGATTCCAACTGATGTAACACGTACCTATTTATGAACTAAAGAACCGTTCCCACACTTGCTTGAATAAATTTGTATAATAATAATTTACAGAGGCATTTTCGGAACGTACATTTCCTTCAATACTTGAAATTATCATTCCTCTTCTCATGTAAAGCCTTACGTTATCGAAGCCGAAACGTGAACCTCTAACTAAAAGGTAATTAATGAACGTTGAATTGGAGTACCTACCTAAGTTGTATTACATCACGGCGCTAAAAACTCAAGTATAAAAAAAAGTTTTTAAGTTGGACATCCTTATTGTCTATTATACCGTTTTTCCCAAAAAGAAAATTTTAGTTTTTTAACTGACTGATTGGTCGATTGTTTTAACGGTTTCCAGAATTATTTCTTGTAATTAGACTTGAATTTATGAATTAATTTACTTCGCACTTCCTTGATTAATTTTGCGATTTACATAATTCGCTAGATCAAACAACGTCAATTGAGTTCTGGGAATCGGACCAATTTATGGGCGAAACCAAGCGATTCTCGCCTTTATGGAATTTATCGGCTGATTTATTAACGTAATTTGATTCGCGCCGTTTAATTAGCGTTTTGATTCGGTTAATTAAATTAATTTAATTATAATCGCAATCTACTGCAGCATTCGCGGTCATTGATATCAATTGTGCAAAATGGCGTCGTAAGATGATCATGAGACCACAAGCATCTAATTTGAATTAGACAAAATTTCTAAAAAATTGCGGTAAAATTGTTAGAACTTGTAAGTGTATTCCAATTACAATGTGTACTTACAATATTCTTTTATAGAACTTTAAGAAAAACCCATTTCGTCATTGATAAAATATATCAAACAATAAAAACAGTACACGTTTAAGTGCACAAAATTTTGCGAAATTTGAATTGAAGCTGCAATACTAAACTAAGATTTTGGTTATTCATGTGTAGCAGGCTTTTGTCCATTTAAAGTAATTTCCTTTTTGTTCGAAATGCAGAGGAAATTGTTTGTACATTATATTGTATCGTTAGCGATGGTATTTTTAGAATGGAATGTAAGATAAGGTGTGTAAGTGCGCGAATATGTAGCTTGAGTGGTGCGCGGAGACGACATTAGCATTCGTCGCTTGGGTTGCAAAGTGTAAACCCGCTGGCCGGGTCGTAGACGTCACTCGTTTAAATTAGGGAGTTAAATTTGTTATTTTTAAAGCGGCTGACCATATATTTGTTAGGGCTAAGTAAATAAATCCACGAAGGTGCTTGAAGTACCATTGATAACAATAACATAAGCATCGCCTTGCTATCAATTCTTTGGCTAAAATATTAAATAAATGACAAATTGCAGCTTTTTGTTATAGTAGAGGTTCGTGTATTTAAACGCCCATGAATGACTTAATAAATATAAAGCCGAGAATCAAAGCCCGAAATAGCGAATCCATTTAATTGACTTTTACATAATAGCTTCTATAAGATTTCTCTTTGGAGCCAATGGGCTTATGAGAAAAAATCATCCAATTACTTTTACAAGATAATAATTTAATTTCCACTTTTCCTAAAAGCAACATAAATACTCGTCAGAGAGGAACAAAAACAAAATGCACCGATCAATTTCGATTAACCAGGAACGAAGGGAAGAAATAAAAGGGGCTTTGTTCTTAAACGAAAAAGTTATTTGTAACCAACATTTTTGTTCTGTTTTTTTTTTGTAGTAACATTCAAAAATCCGGACAAAAACCACTACCACACTAACTCCGAAAGAACAACGCACTTACAAAACGTATCATACTACGTATTATCTTCTGTTAGTCACAGGACCGGAATTTTATTCCGTCGAATTAGAATGGCTGGCCATACACACGACAGATAAAACGATGGCCGCCCGACACAGTAAACGACAACTTCAATAAAACTACTACGCCCAGCTTTTACTCGAACTCGGCTGATGCCTTGATTTTAACGTAATAACTTTTACTTGACGAACAATACAAAACTTAACAGGACGCGCGTCTTACAAATTTTCAACGAACAGCGCTCCGGCCCCTACACCTCTTACACCATCTTCAGTATTTAATGGCACTCTCTCCTTTGCAAAATTTTAAAATCTTTATCCAATTAACGGACCGTAGCAGCACAAAAACCAATAAAAATTCCGTTGCTTGAGGCTCCTTAGGTCACGTGTCAAAAATTTACGCGGAATTCTCTTATCTCAAATAACAATTTTCTACGAAACACGCGCACTTTTTGCTTAATTGTTATCGCAAATAAATTACATTAACCTTTTAACAAAAGTAATCAAAGTGCCCATAAATTAAAACAGAACTCTTACTTCGACGATTTAACAAATAACACAAATAAACGATAAATTGCCCTATATTTAAGGATTCTAGGAAATACTCTTTTACAAGGAAAAAATAAATCACTAGAAACACAATACTCGCTTTGTGTTTACACTTAAAACCCAACCAGACTCATTAAATAGTTTGAACAGAGAAAATTCAGGCGCCTGGACCAAATCTAAACGTCCACATTGACATTGTTTACATAGCAATACAGACGAAAAAAAAGTTATTCTTTAAAAGTTGCTTAAAATGATCTAAAACTTTGACATTTGAGGAAATTTCGTGCAAAAAGAAACGGTGATCGCAATAGTTACCTAGCTAAGAAAGCAATGAAGTTTTAGGAAACGAGTGATGCGTTAAAGTCAAAGTTGTTAGATTAAGGGTTGGGATAGATCCTTTATGATCCTTGTAGAGGGTTAAAGTGGGGTAGAGCGATGGTAATTTTTGTTATTGGGTCTAAAAATTACTGCTTTATCAAAGTAGCTCACCAACGTTACTAGCATTGTAGTCGTTTCAGGGGTCGTTTTGTTAAAATTACACATATGTACATGTTATTATTTTTTAGTTGACATCATTTTAATTTGGAGGTTGTTATTTTTTTATTTAAAGGTAGGCATCAATCTCCTGACAAGAGCCATGAAACTTTGATTTGAAGATTATACAATATAAAACAGTAAAGTAGTGAAGTGCTAACTAAAAATACGAATACCATGTATCATGTTTAATATCTTTGAGATAGTGCATCATTTTCTTCCCATTGTCTGAATTGTTGCCCAGGATATTTATGAGTTAGACCAACCCATACGATTTGGTCAAAATCGGCTCATAATTACGAAAGTTAGTGTTTCTTTGAAGTTCAAAGTAATTCACATTAATTCAAATTAATCCAAGTGAATTCAAATTATTTCACGTTAATTCAAATTAGTTCACGTTAATTTAAATCAATTCATGTTAATTCACAATTAATTCACGTTAATTCTAATTAATTCACGCGAACTTAAATTAATTCAGAGCAGTATACACCAAACATTCAAAGTTATTTCCCCCTAGGATGAGGCAGAATGTGAGCTCTTGGCCTAGAATGTGATGAAGATGAGAAGCTTGAGTGTGGCCCAGGCGGGGACGATTTAAAGCGAGTCGAACATAAGAAGTTGGTGGAGTCAAGAAACCAGATTAAGCGTTTGTTAAGGATCGGATCGCGCTTTGTTTGGCTTCAGAGTAATTGGGACCGCCAAGGCTTTTCACCATATTTCTCGACACATTCCGGATGCAAAGAGGTGTTGAACCATTTTAGCAGAGATCGCGCTTTGTTTAGTTTCAGAACCACCAATGCCTTTGATCATATTGCTGGAAACATGTCGGGTGCTAAGAGTGGGTTGAAGAAAATAGAAACATTGTATCGGAGCGTGGTAGCATCTTGAACAGAATGAAGAGTTGAGTTTCAGCTAATTCTTCCATGGTTACAGTTGCATCTATTGGGTGTTCACGATCCAGGTCTTTAGTTTGGGGTTCTCTCTCACTTAACTCTTTGTATTGATCAAAGTCAGGGCCATTGTTGGTGAGTAAAGACGTCTTCTGAAACTCGCTGACAAGGATCTCGGCAATTTGTTCTAGGTGTAATACTGATTATTATATTATGGATAATTATAGTAATTACGCTGCCTCTTTGTGTAGTTGCTTTAATTTGTTTAATTTTCTTCAAGAATATGTGAGGTTGGAGTGCTGGATTTCTTCTGGCGACCTTGCTATCGTAGCTAACGTCCTTTTCTTCATCAGCGATGTCAAATTTCTTTAAAATTCGTAAAAACTCTTCATACCTCATCATTTATCATATTTTGTGATACGTCCTTTTCATAGTTCCTCGCTAAACGACTAATTAAAATTGATTCTGGCATTCTCGTCTGTAAATGTTTAAATTTTGCATAAACCTCCATGATGTACATGCCTCGGCTAAATTTCCTCCATAAATTGAATTGCTCTGCCGCTTTATTCAGTTATTCTCCCTAATATTGCTTACGAAAGTTACTTTTAAATGTTTCGTAATCGCCCAACTTGGGCTTCACCCTTAAAAACCCTTCAACAATCCGGCTGCATAAACCTGCCGATTATTCATCACCGTCGCCTCCGGTTGCAGGACAATTCGCGCCTGGATAATTCGCTCTCGGACAATTAAAAATTAAAAAGTACGCGTGTGTAAACTACATAGTTTACACAACAACATAGTATGTTTGCTCGTCTCAGGTAGATTTATTAAATCAACCCTTAATTTCTTTAGCTTTTTTTGGAGAATCTTAGGTTTCTTGGCGATTTTTTGATTTCGGAAGACCAACAATTTGATTTGTTTCAGATAATGTGTTGACGCCATGTCAAAAACTGCATACTATATTAAATAAACAGATTTACATATGCCACAACAGCATTTTAAAATTCTACTTATTTATTCAAAAATGTAACATAAGTAGGTAACTCAGTTCGTCGGCTGGTCAAAAATACCCAAACTATCGTAAAATGGTAGAAAATGCAAGATTTCCTCTATATATGCTTCATTATTGATAACGTGATACCGATATCCAGTTGCACTCTCGTCTTCCAAGAAGGCCTCCATTGAAGCGCCCTCGGCATGGTTTGCCTTGCTGAATGGCAAGACTAATAACGCAGTGCCAAATCCGTAAGAACTAAAGATACGAAAATCTGCATCGAATTGTTCGCGTGTTGGCATCGACTTCGTATGAAATTTTCTTAACAGTCGCGTTAGGTTTTCAAAATAATGGTCAATGATGGTACTGTATTTGGACCGGGTCTCTAAATTAGCACTTGCAGTTAGAAAGTAATGCAAATCCAAACACGGAGACGAGAAGCATGAGATCGTGTAGTCGACCTGGAAAAATACTTTCAATCTTTATTTAAGAGTTTTTCTTCTATTACAAATGCCACGTCACTAACAACTCCACGGTTGTTGTAGCGGAACATAATGTTATTTATCCAACAATCACCGTGGTTAAGAACTTTAAAGTCACAGTTTATCTTGTGAACGTTGCACAACTCGGTCAGTATCCTATCTTTCGCTAGTTTCATTTTCTGAATGTGCTTCTTTACATCTGAAACACAGAAGTAGGCTAAATAGATACTTCTTTAAGCAACAAAATACCAGGTCGGTTCTGCAATTGTTTCACTATCTCATCGTAATTAATAGAGATGATTTTAGCGGTTATGCTCGATTTTCGAAACATTGATTTACTAAATTTTGGTAAGACATTCGGATCCTGTAAAATACGATGCCTAATTTTACTTCTATGCCACCATCACCCAGTACCTTTTCGTGCAGAGCAACTGAAGCAGCATGGAAATAAGCAAGTTTCTCCACCACCAAGAGACAGTGCTCTAAATCCAAGCCCCTTCGTCTTTCGGTCATTTTATAATTCACCGCTGATAAGTCTTCCAGTAAAATCATCGGTAATGGTTCTGAGCAACACCAATACACGATGGGCGACATCTTCTCGCGATAATCTAGAAAATAAACCGTATCCATCTGGTGCCAAGGTGGAAAGTGATCACCTAATTTCGACAAGGGCGGTATAATATTGCCATATATTTCAAGTTCGCATTCGAACATTTTCATCTCCTTCACAAACCCAGCTTGGTACTCATCTTCAGGTAAACTTTTACAAACCATCCAGAGTGTATGTTGCCGGCCCCTAAAAGTCATACGGGTTGCCACTAAACTAATAATGTACAACACTAACCCGTCGCCAAATGAGTAATCGATTTTAATCCTACTCAGTGTACTGCAAAAATTTTCACCAGCTGCGACTACACCATTGGTAATGTGAACATTGGTAATTTCGACGTCTTGATTGTAGTACCTGTTGAGAACACTCTCAAAAAAACCTTTGTTCAGCAGTTTTTTTATTAACGCCATGAAGATGCGTTTGTGAATACTCGATGCTGTTTATATGAGTAAATACGTATAAATCTCAGGAAACAACGTTGGCTGTTTTGAATTTTATATTAAGTGTTTAATTATACTAGTGGTACTTGAACTTTACTATACTTCTCCGATCGACATTGTTTATTATGTATTTTTCTACATGGGTTTTTAATTGCACCATATTTCTGCGACCTCGCCAATGAGGCCGCGATAAGAAATTAACCTACAGGTTGAAGTATAACCAAAAACTTCAAAGAATGCGCATTTATTCTCTGTTCGCAGCAGCCCATTTAACAAGACGTACTCTTATCGTACATTAAATTTCATGAATTCAAAATGTGTCACGTGTCTAGGTATTTGATGAACTAAAGTTTAAATTGAGTTAGAAGTATAAAAGTTACTTACATATTACGCAACCGTTCCCACACACACGCTTGAATAAATTTGTATAATAACCTATAGAGGGATTTTCGGAACGTGCATTTACTTCAATTCCTCAAATTACCACTTCTCTTCTCATCTAAGGCCTTACGAGATCGAAACCGAAACGTGAACCTCTAACTAAAAGCTAATTAATAAACGTCTTCGGTGGTAATAAAATACACTTCATTAAGGACGAGGGTATAGGTAGATATTGATAGCTGGTTAACTCTTGCCCTTTGCTTTCAACAACACGAAAACGGCCATCAATTGGAGTAACATTGCCTATAATTTCTAATATGAAAATATAACCCGAATTTAATTTAAGTGTAGGGAATTTCGATCGCGCGATAATGGAGGATATAAGTTGGCCCTACCAATTTTTGAGAACAATTATAAAGCTTCTGGTGTCTGAACTGTAGTAGAGCCTAGTCAAACTTGTGTATTAGAAGAGTCAAAAGTCATTATCCAGAAATGTCCATACTGCAAAAGGATTTTTGCACTAGAGTGGGTTTCAAAGCTTAAACTCCAAAAGCGATCCAGTTTTCAATTTTTCTTGGAGGGGGCCTTTTCAACGGAGGGCCTTTGTAACCTACTCTAGCAATTTCTTTGAGTTGCTTGCTACAATAATGTAGCACACTTTTAAATTCTCAAACGAGGAACAGACCATTTTACTAACTTTTACCAATTTTGTTTCTAGTGATGGAAAAGGTACTTTAACATGAAGATTATGAATCCATCCTTATCTACTCACAAAGATTTTTATTTCAAAGTCATTTGCGTTTAACCATTTACAATAATCCTTTGTTAGCGCATTGTTTAATGACCTACGTAATTGAAAATGACTTCGGCCGACCACGATTGTGTTTCCTTATTTTCACTCGCAAACTTCACGTAAAATTCGTTTCCGATTCATGCCGCAGACTCAACCATGGTAATTACTACACTGCGCGTCCCTTAAATTCATTGAAAATGACCTGTAAAGGCACATTGAGCCAAAAGACCACGGCATGTAGAAGGGCTTTTGGTTGTACATGGAGCTTCAACCCTCGACTGGTATATTGATCAGGGACATCAGCTCATTTTGGTAACAGTTATCTGGAATCGAGGAGCGTGAAGCAACTTAGGCTAAATAGGGTCCTTTTCTTTGTTATGCGGGCTCTGAAAACTTACTCGTAGTTGCAAAAGAAAGGGGGAGGCAGAAATTGGCCTTTGGTGTGCCTGGTCGGGCTCCCCTGTGTTTAGATAGATAGAATAGAATAGATAGGGTAATAAATTAAAATCCCACGTACGGTTAATTCACTAACGTTGTATTCCCACAATACAGAACATGACCTAATGCTCACTCTGCGGTTTGGAACCGATCAAACCAATTCAGATAAAAATTTTATCCCTTGTATCCTGGAGCTAGACTTCCTAAACCTATTAAAAGTTCAACACACTGTGGAATTCCAATGACGCAGTAAAAACGGTCGCTAATCTTCCCTACAAATCTAAATATATCAAACATCAAACTACTCAGCCTGTACTTCGACCACACTGTAGACCCAATGCGCACCACTAAGTTTCTGAAATTCCGAAAAAATCGAAAAAATAAATCCAAAGAGCTACCGTTACATAGTTCAATTTCAAACCTAGTGATTGACTAAATAAAGAAAATTGTCAAAATGTGGTCATGCCGATCGTCCCTAGAATCTATTCTGTACTCTATTATAATTACTAGAAATACCAGGCCCTACGGGGAGCTAAGTAAAAATGAGTTTCTTCAAAACTTAACTTTTCCGCATGGAAGAATTTTGTTGAGACCCAGTACCTTTCCTTTGTAATATTCATTTCTCACGCATCGGTTCTCTTTTTATTGAGCGAATTATTTAATTTATTTAATTTAAGTGTTTAATGTACTCATGCCATTGAGAGGAATGTTAAAATGTCAGTAAGAGCATTTACGCTTTTGACATGTTCAATATAATCGATCGATTTGCCTTTATAAAAAGTGCTACTGTTAAAATTTCGGTTCATAAATAAGAAATTTGAGGGTCCGGAAAAGTAATATAAAAATTTAAAAAATTTGGCCGGGAATCGACCCCGGACCGCCCGCGTGGCAGCTACAACGCAACGATTAGAGAAACGACGACCACGACGGCTAACATCTTAATTGATCTGGATATAAAATGACTTACCATACAAATATCTGAAAGTGGACTAAAAATCCAGGAGTAAAGTCCGGATTGTTATAGAACTTTCATTATTCAAAGGTCAACCCTGAAAACCCAATATTTATTATCAAAATCAGAATTACATTGGAGTTTGTTTAGTTTAGCAACTTACTCTTAGTTATTAGTTTTACACACATATGAGATAATAAAATAAGTTAAATGGGAGAAAAGATAACGTTGTAAATTTCCTGATGGTTTTTGAAATATATTGAAAAAATCAGATTTTTCAATTTTACGAACTGACGTTAATATTTGACCTAGAGCAAAACGAATGACACTTCTCCACGGCAACTTTTAAAGCTCTAGATTTTTTATTTTTTTAATCCGACGTTTCGTCTGTGGAAACATCGTCAACTTCATTTTTCTAATGCGACTCTGATATTCCGATATCATATTCTGAAAGTCCGTTTTATTCTGAATTTAATCATGTTTAGCACTTTATGGCTTAATTTGTTTGGAGTATATAAATGACAACACAATTGTAAATACTAGTTTTAGACCAATCACTGCCAAAGGATCATACCTGCTTTATATGTTGCTAACTAGCTGTAATTGGGACTTTCTCGATTCGCATGAATTAAGTTGTGATATAATGTTTGATACATTTTTAAAAAAATTTATAGATGCCTTTGTAGTTGCATTTCCTTTTAAAAAATGTTATGTTCGATCTCGCGATAATAAGGTCGTGTGGTTCAATGAGAAATTAAAACGCCTAAGAGATCGAGTGGCTTTCATCAACGATGTTTATCGAGTTGATAAAAGCTATTTTGTACAACGTGAAAAAAAGCGACTTCGCATGGAATATAGGTATGCCATCAAAACTGCTAAATGTTTAGCGAATGACAATTTTATTAGTAATTCAAGTAATCCTGGCAAAGCCGCTTGGCAGGTAATCGATTCATTCAGAACAAAGCCTAGGAAGAAGACAAACATCAGCATTGATGCAAACACGTTTAATAGTCACTGCGTATATTCCCAGAGTACATTAAATTCTGATTCTCGTACTACACTCATCAGTCATGTCAATTCATATAAAGCTAATACTTCTTTAAATCCTAAAAATAAATTCAGTTTTCATAAGGTCAGTGAAACCGAGATTCGAGATATAATCAAAACACTTAGGTGTACTCAATCCAAGGACGTTCTATTTTACCAATATTCTCAAAAGTCTTCGAAAAGGTTTTATATAGACAAGTTTCGAAGCATTTTGAAGAGAATCATTTGTTTATTGGAAATCAATTTGGATTTAGGAAAAATAGAAGCACTGCTGATGCGGCGATTCATTTCGTTATCGACTTAACTCGTGCTTTTGACAGTGTGGTGCACGAAATATTAATTACGAAATTGCAAGAGTTGTACAAATTTGATACATCTAGTGTAGCATTGATCAAATCATATTTGAGCGATAGAATGCAAGCTGTAAAGGTCGATGGTGATACATCCAAGTTTCTTAAGCTTCAAAGAGGCGTGCCGCAAAGTTCCATTCTGGGACCTCTATTATTTTTAATATTTATTAACGATTTTTCGTTCCACTTAACAGACACTGTTACATGCCTTCAGTACGCGGATGATACAACTCTGCTAATATCGGACCAGAATTTAAATAGGGTTTATGAAGAGGCGGGTAGAGCAATTCAATTAACTGAGAATTGGTGTTTATCAAATGAACTAAGATTAAATTCTAGTAAAACGGTACAAATGCTAATCACCCTCAAACAAAATGATTTCGATAATCCTTGTTATGCTAATTTTTTAGGTGTTAACATTGATCCGAAATTAACGTTTAAGGAACATGTTAGTAAAGTAGCCAAAACAATTTCCGGTAACATATTCCTCTTAAGGCGTTTATCTGAAAACGTTTCCCCTAATATTTTACGTATGGTCTATTTATCAGTGATTCATACTCACTTATATTACTGTAACATTGTTTGGGGTAATTGTACAAGTGCAACACGAATATTTGCTCTCCAACGTCGTGCTATTAGAATTATAGGCAATCTGCAGTATAGAGAAGATTGCAAAAATGTGTTTATTAGATTCAGATTGTTGACATTTCCTTGCATATTAATACTACACTGTATTCTATATGCTAAAATTCGTGCCAATGAACTTTGTGTAAGGTCCGATATACCTACATAGTTATAATACACGAAATTGTAGTAATCTTGATCTAAAGCATTACTGATTAGATAAAACTTGCAGAAGTTTTGTAAATATTTCGTTTGAGCTTTTTAACCTGCTGCCTGGCCAGACCAGGGATTTACCGTACAATACCCTGAAAACTAAATTAAAAAAATTCCTTACTGAAGGCGCATTTTATACTATTAATGAATTTAAAGACTGTGATCTATATGGAACGCCGTTTTACTTTTTATTACGAAAGTTTACAATGTAACATTATAAACAACAGTTAATTTTATTTCCCGATTTATTATGTTTGTTGTTTTTATGTGAAACATTAAATATGTTTGTTTAAAAAACATCACTTAATTGAAATGATGTATGAATTATATAGCAATGTGTATAACGAAAGTTTAACAATACAAATCAACAAACGAATACATAAACGAACAGTAATATAACTAACTAGAACTAATTCAACAAACATAAAAATTTATTCATATTAAATGTGGGATTAAAA